CCACAGGGCTTCGTATTCAATTACAGGCTCCTTATTAGGTTACAAAAGCTAAAATCTTTCAATTTTGCCTCCAGCCGAACTTGAACTGTTAACCTTGACTGTAGAAGGTATGGGAGCTTAACCACTAAGCTATGAGACCCACACTCTGATATGAAAAGCATTTCAAAAAATTATTTAAGCATTAATCGATATGAAAAATGTATTTTTTGAGTCATAGAGATTTGAATAACTATATACAAAAAGCAGCATATTTTTTATTAAAATGTTTTATTAAAATTTATAATTAAATTGCTACAAATGATGTAATAAATCTAAATTCAAGCAAATCTGAAATGTTAATTCAAAGAAAAAAAAAGAGAAAAATTATGAATAAAACCAATATATTTATGCTAACTATTGAAATTATTATAAATATTTGTTATTTTTTTTTAGGTTTTAGCATTTCACAAAAACCTAATTAATTTATTTTATATAATTATTTATTATATAATAAAGCTGACATGCATGTATTTACTAATTTTTTATTTTCTAATTTAAAATACTAGTTTGCAGTTACAAATATCATATAAAATGTTTAACAATTTTTATGGAATAAAATAAAAACAAATATAGATCAATTACTAGAACATCTGTTGAATTTAGATGATAAAAAAAATTAAAAAAAAAGCAAAAACTGTTCAAGCTCAAGAAAATAGAATAAAAAATTCTAAACCTGAAGAACTCAACAATAAAACAGTTAAAGACAATGAAATTATTGTCTTTAAGATTATTGAAAAAATAGAACTTTATAATTTATTGCAAAAGCTTCAAGAGCTACAATAAATAAAATTTATTTTATTTTTTTTTTTATAAATAAAATTTCTTTTTCTTTAAAAATAAATAAATATTTTTTTAAAACTTTATTTTTTTAGTATTGATTTTTATTTAACAGAGTTTTTCAAAAAAATAAAAATATATTAAATTATAAATTATCACAGTTAACCCTCAAGATAGTATAAAAATAATTTAAAATAATAAAAATTTGGTAAATATAAATTTGTTTTCTGACAATCAAATATTTATATATAATAATAACTTTAGATCAAAATGCTATATTGAGCTTTAACTGTAAACTACTCTTTTCTTTTACCTATAAGCTTTTATTTTTATATATATATTTAAATTTTGAAATTTTAAAAAAAAAAATCTTAACAAAAATAATGGTATTCTCATAATTGAAAAAACCATTCTTGTTAATTAAGATTCAAAAAAAATTATTTTAATGAAAATTTTAATAAATTATTTAATTTATAATATAAATTATTTAAATTTATAATATATATAATTTGACCAATTATGATAAGTTATTTAATTTCACTGATTAACCAATTATGAAAAAGTCTTTCTATATAGGACAGGTTATAGTCCTTCTAGGCTATCTGAATTGAAAGTCTGAGGTCAAAAGCAGAAGTATATTATAAGTACTAGAAATAAGCTATAAAGTTAGTGCTAGAGTCTAGATGAATTTTGCAAGATCAAGCCCTGTTAGCAAGAATTAAATATAAGTAGTTAGTTAGCAAGAGGGCCTTCTGAAGCTTTACAATTAGGTAACATATTCTGAAATATATAATGGCTTAACAGATGTACAGAAAAGATGTTAATATTAAATTAGATGACATTTAGGTATATAAGAACTTGTGCATTATCTGTTGGTATAAGTATAGAAATTAAAGTGTTTAAATAAATAATCTTCTAGCAAATTGCAGGTATAGCAGCTAGTATAGAACTTGCTATGTGAGCAGACTATTTAATTAGATAACCAAAAGTTGTACATATAGCTAGTTGTATATTTATCTTGTACAAGTTATGTAATCATAATTAAAAATACAATAAAGCAATAATTGCTAATAATCATAACTTTAACAAAAGCAAAAAAAAAATTTTATTTATTATTTATTATTTTATTTAAACAAAATCATTTAATATCTTTTTTTATAATATTAAATCTTATTTTAATAATTCTTTTTATAATCAAGCTAATCTCTTAGCCAAACAAGATACCTTAGAACATTTAATTAAATTCAACTTTATAATACTACTTTCTAATTATTATTTTTTTTTTAATATTAATGATGAGGCCATGCCTCTATCTTTATTGAATATTTAATTGAGATTTTACAT